GCCCAGCAGCTTGCAGCAGAGTGGCTGCAAGGCTCCAGAAGCCTGGGCCAGGCGCGGACCCGGTCTGCTCGTTCTGCCTGGCTGGTTGGGCTTGTTTATGCCCCTCTTTCTAGAGGGATCTGAGGTGGTTCCCTAAAAATCAGTAACACAGAGAGATCCATGAATTGGATTACAAAGAGGGAGATAGCATTAGAAAGAGGAGAAGCAAATGAGCCAGCCTCGAAGGATGGTGCCAGAAGAGGGGAGCTGGGGGACTCTGTCACACTTCTTGTCCGAGAAGGGGAAGCACACGTGTGCCTTGGGGAGACGTGTTCTGTCTCAGCACGATGCTGAGAGGAAGTTTCACGTGGGCACGACGATGAGGCCCTGGGCTGGGCAGGGAGAGGTCCCCAGCAACCACTGATCCCCAGTAAACGCAAGGCAGGCTGGTCCTGACAGGTGGACTCCTGACGGGATCTGACGGTCGGCCTCTGAGCGGCACCTGGCGTTCCTGTTCTGGAAGGAACAGCAGTACTGATGAGCAGTGGACACAGAGTGCTTTCACCTCCCGTCTTAGGTCGGTTCCTTGGAAGCAGAGCTTCAGCCGGGAATCTGGTCCCAGAGGTTAGGAGGCCCTTGGGAGAAACCTGTAGGAAGTGAGGGAAGCAGACAGGCCAGGGCAGGAGCCCTCAGCCTAACCCAGCGGGGCCCAGCAGTGTGAAGAGCCCCTGGGATCTGACCCCCCAGGCCCGGGTCAGCTCCAGAACCCGTATCGGCCAGTCACTGGCTGTGGGTTGTCCCGGGAGGAAGGGGCAGGGGAGCTGTGCCAGGCGCTGGGGAACGGGCGTCCATGGGTGGGGCCCCAGCAGCCCCGCTTCACATCCATTTTCTCGTGGGACCCTTGCAATGGCCCAGGGAGGCAGCCAGGCCAGTGACGACTGTTCATTTCCCAAATGAGGCGACTCTTGTCAGTGGAGGAGCCGGTCTTGGGCGAGATCCTCCGACCCCAGACCCTGCGCCCCGTGTTCCTCCCCTGGGCCACGCGCACCACGCTCCCGACGCCTTCCTGGTTCAAGGGCGGGATGGGGCCCAGGGAGACGGGAGTGAGGAAAACAGCCTGTCCTCCTGAGGGCAAGACGACCAGGAGAAAGGGGGCTGCCGCTGCCTGCTCTCGGCCACGGCACCCCACAGTCCGCCTTCCCCTTGGCCCCAGGCTGGCACTTGGGGAGGGGATGGAGCTCATGGCCCGAGGCTCGGCAGGGTGGCTGGTGGCCGGCGTGCACAGAAGGACGGGGCCGAGTCCGTTAAGTTAATGTGAGGCTCCCGAGGGGGGATTTGGTTTTCAGATTGCAGCTCAAGGCAGAGGTGCCCTCAGCTGGCGAGGGGCTGCGTCCTCCTCGGCCTCTTCACAGTGTGGGCGCTTGGGGCTGGGTGTGGACGGCGGGTGTGGACAGGAGCCGGGCCCAGCCCTCGGGGTGCACTCACTACCCGGGTCTGGTGGGCCTCTGTCTGCAATGAGGGCTGCACAGAGTTCCAGCGGGGCTGAACCCAGAAGACCTTCTCTCAGTCCCCAGGGCCTGGCCAGGGGCCTGCCACCCAGGAGGGGACGGGAGCAGATATCTGCACAGAAGGGCTGTGCAGAGAAGGGGCCGTTGCTCCTGACTTGGGGAGGCTGGGTGGGTGGGCTGAGACACTGCTGCCCATACCCGAGGCCTGGCAGTTCTGATGGAAGCCACTTGACTTTCAGGGGCTCCATTCCAAAGTCACTCCAGACTCTAGGACTGGGGTGCTGAGCAGTGTCTCCAGCCACTAGCCTGAGGCCACATGGATGGTCCTCTATGAGCTTTATTACCTGGGCAGGCCCGTGCCCAAGTAGGCGGCCCATCCCTGGGCCAAGGCCGGGTCTCAAGAGAACAGAATTCGGCATAGGGGGGACTGTCTGTCCCAAAGCAGCCATTTCACCCTGGAAAGATGTGTTCACACAGTGCTTTGAACTTGTTCAAAGCTTTGCAGCTTTCCCCGAGACATTGTTGAGGGCACACAGGCCTCCAGGCCTCCAACAGGCCTGTGCAGCATTCTTGCACGGGAGCTGGGCTTTGGGAGTGCGAGGGAGCTGGGCTTTGGGAGTGCGAGCAGCTTTGGGAGTGCGAGCCGCGGCCGGGAGAGGCTGGGCGGGACCCTGCCCCCAGGGCCGCGCCCTGGATGCCAACACAGGATGGGCCCTCCTGGGATGGAGCCTGGGCAGGACACACACTCTGCCCCTTTGTGCAGGTCACATTCCTCCCCAGCAGGTGGGGCGTGCCGCCGGCTGGGACATTCAGCAGGTTTTCACTGTGGCTGAAACAGCTGAGTTTTGAGTCAACAAGGTTTTCAACGTGACACTGGCTTTGTAGCCAAGGAGTAGGTGCCTTTGAGGACTGTCAGAGGGTGGGGTTCAGTGGCATCCTGGGGTTTGCTTGTGACAACATTCACCAACCAAACCTTGCAGCTCCTTGCCCTGCTGCAAAGCAAAAAGGACCCAGTTATTCCAGACATTCAGAATGGGGGTCGTCCGGGTGCCCTTGGCCCAGCCCTTATTTGTCAGGTGGGCCAAGGCCCAGAGGTTGGAAGGTCTTGTCTGAAGCCATCAGGCCTGTGTGTGGCGGAACCCAGGACTGTAACAGCCTCTCTGACCTCAGCCCTCGCCAGGGCACACTTGAGGCAAAAGCTGCATCTCTGAAAGGTTCCCGCAAACTGGGGTCCCCAGCACCCTGCTGCTGGCGTGGCTGCTGTTTAACATGATTAGTGCCCAGACACACGCTGTCACGTTTGCCATGAAGTCAGGCACCCGCCTGCACCTTAGTTAACACATGTTCGTGGGGCTGAGGGCATCAGGGTCTCGGCATCACCTGTGACCCGTTCACAGCACGCTGGCTTTACGCTGGGCACTATTATTTGTAACGGGGGTCACGCTGCCATTCGCGGAAATCCCTACAACCGCTGCTCCTATAGGTCCGGGCTGAGCCATCCTCCCTCTTTCTTGTCTCTCTACCCAGTTCTCCTTTCGTCCTGGCTCAGGTCTAGGCCAGTCAGGAGCGTGGCTGGGAGGCAGAAGGGGCCCCAGGGACCCTCCCGGCGCAGGCATCTGGGGCCTCTGCCCACACACAGCGTTAGGTTTGTGTTCTGACCTGAGGACACGGAGGCTCTTGGGGGCCATTTTGCATGAGGATCTGCCTCCGGCCCTCTGCTGTGGCAGCAGAGGGAACGTGCCCTGTGAGGCCTGGGGCCTCAGCGAGCCCCACGTGGCCCAGGAGGGGTACCGCGAGGGTCCCCAGTCTGGCTCCCACCACGACCTGGGCCAGCATCTCAGGTCTGATTGGTGGCCCAGTCCTTCTTTCCTCAATCCCAGAGGCCCCCACCCCGCCAGTACCCCAGCCTCCCTTTCTCAGTTAATCGAAGGATTCCAAGATGAGCAAACCCATCAGAGCGGTTTCCGCCGTGGCGCCGGTGGGGACGGTGAGCGCGTGCACGGCAGGCCCGGCCACTTTCCTCCAGAGAGAGCGCCTTTCGTTTTCCATCTGCCAAGCCTGGTGCAGCAGCTTGCTCACTGTGACAGCTGGTGGTCACCTTTATTTCAAAGTGGCATACAGACACTGCCGCCTGTGAAAGGACTGGGGCCCTCAGGACAGGCCTGTGACCTTGGCATTGGCAGACGTGCGGTGCTCCCCACGCCCCCAAGTCCCCAGCGTGTGCAGGGAGGAAGCCAGAGCCCGGACTCCCTCCTGCTGCCTTCGACACACGTCTCTCCTGTCTCGTCCCGAGAAAGCACAGCATTGCTGCTGGTCCTGTTGGGGACCAGTGGGGCTGGGCCGTGGGCATCCTCGTCTGCACAGCTCTCCGTCCTGACTCTGTGCTCAGCCGGGAGAGCAGGTGTGTAGCTGAACCTGTCGGTGCGCAATGCCGGGCCTGCCCCCTTTTGTGAGTGGGTGGCCCCAAGCACCCTTGGGCCGTGTTCAAGCTCTGCCTGCCACGGGCAGGCCCTAGGCTGCCTCCTCCAGGCTGGCCCCTTGCAGAGGCAGAGCCTACGGGTGCAGAGCCCTGGGCAGACACATTCTCTCATGGGGGCCTCAAAGGGCTCTGTGGGACAGGCAGGGACCATCACTCGCCTCTTACAGATGAGGCAGCCAAGGCCTAGGGAGGCTGAGGGGTGTCTCCGCGGCACCCAGCTGTGAGCCCGGCCCCTTCCCCAGCAGGGCTGCAGCATCCGTCACCCGAGTGCCTGTTGAGGGCACAGGAGCCCAGGGCTCACGTGGAAACCAGCCCCCTGGGTGACTGTGATGTGCACCATGTGGACGTCAACCCAACCCTCCTGGCCCATGTCCCCTCCTATCACGGCGACAGAGTGGCATGGGCACCGTGCCCCCTTTGTGCAGCAGTGCGGCCTGGCGGTGTTTCCGTTTGCGTCAGTAAATCCACTCCTGCCGTGTTCTTCTAATGGCTAAAGAGGCTTCCCTTGTCTGAAAAGACATGCTTTATGGAACCCTTATCACAGGGAATCTGGGTCACTTTCTCCTTTTCAATTTAACAGCGTGACGAGGAATGTTCATGTCACTGAATTTCTGCATGCGTCCGGATTGTTTTCTTCAGATAAAACTTCTAGAAGTGAAATTGCCTGATGAAGGGTTCAGATCCGTTTTCAGAAAGGCTGTGTGTGAAGGGCTCTGGGCGCGCCCCACCCCCCACCCCCGCGGTGCCCCCAGCACTGGGTGTTCGTAAGCTCGTTCTCTTTGCCGATTTGCAGGTGAATAACTGCACCTCGCATTTTCTTCGTTAACATGTTCACCGGCCGCGGGTATTTCTTCATACGTTATCCTTGTCCTTGTCCAGGTCGGGGAGGAGGCCGGGACTTGGGTGGTCTTCCGCTGCCCGGCGGGCCCACCAGCAGATAGCCCCAGGGGCCTGGGCCTGGCTGGCTGGGGCGTGCGGGACTTGGGTTCCAGGAACGTGACCCTGAGTGACGTGTGTGTCTGTCTCCCCCACAGAACTGTCAGACCTTCAGCAGCCTCAGCTGCCTGAGCGCAGGGACGGAGGACCGCGGCCCTCACAGCCCCTTCGCCCTCCACGTCAGCAGCACCAGGTCCTGGACCGCCTTGCTCTCGGCCTCCGGCACGGGGGGCAGGACCCCCGCCGGGACCCCGATCCCCGAGCCTCTGCCCCTGTCCCTGGACGACCACCCCGCCTGCCAGGAGGAGCCGTGCTGCGAGGAGGCGGGTGGCTGCGCCCTCGGCGAGGGCTGCGGTGGGCGTGGGGAGCCGGGCACGGCCTGGCGGGACCGCGGGGCTGTCCGCAATAGCCCCTGCTCCCTGGACGGCGAGCTGGACATTGAGCAGATAGAGAACAACTGAGAGGCCCCGGTTGGCGGCGGGGCGGGCAGGGCAGGGGGTGCGCTAGAATCCACGGGCCTCCCGCCGCCTCCCCCCCACCCCGCTCCCGCCGGGCGCCGGGCAGGGCCCCCGGGGGAGCCCCACGCCTGGGCCTGATCAGCGCTTCCTGGAAGGCCTCGGGGCCCAGGAGCGAGCCCACCACCTCCCCAGACGCCGTCCCGCCCGCGGGGTCCTGGCGCAGCACCAGCCGCCTGGCCGGGCCCGCGGTGCAGGGTCTCAGCCTTTCACCAGCACCGCACCCACGCTCCGTGGAGCTGCCACGGCCGGGAGAGAAGCTTCTTGGTTTCGGTCTCCTTCTCCCCTCTTTCCCGTGGGACGTCGGCACAAGCGTCCCACCGTCCCCGCTGGGCAGTCCCGTGGCGCTGCGGCTGGGCCGGCCCGCTCTACGTGCTGACCGCCGGCCCGGGTTTCCGCCCGGGCTCGGGTCCCTCCGCTGGGGTCATGGCCCTTCTCGGCCTCCTGCTCAGGTTCAGTGGTGGGGGGAGTCGGCCCACAGCAGCCCCCCCCTCCCCCAGTCGTATTCCGTGCCTTCTCTCCCAGGTCTCCCGCTTGGGGCCTGGGCGGGGTCGGGAGAGGCTTCCTTCCGTGGTGACACCAGAACCGTTTAGCCTTAATGCCAAGTGCGGGGCACAGCAGCCCTGGGCTGCCGGGCGGCCTCCACATCTGGACTCTCAGGGTCCAGGGAGCAACTCGGGGCGCTCGTTAGAGGCCGTCTAGTTGGGGAGATATTTGGTGGCTCTGTCGGCCGCAATGGCAGAGCCACGAGCCCCTCCTGCGGCGTGGACGGCCTGGCCCCGGGCTCCCTGCCGCTCTGGGGGCTGCTCTGGCAGCGTCGGCAGCTGGCAGCCATTCTCCGTGACCAACCTGTCATGGAGTGCCAGGTGAGTGGAGCGATGTCACCATAAAAGGGCGACCTTTTGAAAACGTCCTCAGGAAGCAGGACTTCTGTGCAGGCGCACAGCCCCAGGCCCTGCGCTCGTCTCGGGACGGAGGGCGTCTGCAGGCCGCCCTGGGGCCCCGCAGCCTTCACGCGCAGGTTCGTTGTCGGTGGGCCAGGTGGGCCAGGGAGCAGAGGGTGGCGAGTGCCTCTCCCCGCCGCAGGCATAGAGCGAGACGCGCGCGTACCCTCTCCGGCTCCGGGCCCCCCCCCCCCCCCCCCCAGCCAATGGCACTGTGTGAGGTCCCCAGGTGAGGCCACCAGAACCGCCCAGCTGAGCCCAGCCCAAATGGCTCAGAAATAAAATGGTTGTCATTTTAGGCCACTAAGATTTTGGTTGGACTGTTACGCAGCAATAGAGACTGATAGAGTGAGACAACTTTCCACCATTATACCCCCCCCCCCCGGGGTTGCCGCGGAGCCCCACCCCCCAACGTCTCCCTCCCAGACAGCTCCTCTCCAGTCCCGCTTGCACACACGCCTCCTGGGCTCTGCTGCCTTGGAATCTGGCTTTTAGCAGCTTGGCGCCTTCCTCAGACGATAGCAGTTGGGTCGGCTTGTGAGCGAGTGGCTCTTTTTTCCCCGTGAGGCTAAACACATCCGTGCGTTCTCCGGAGTTCGCTGCCGCGACAGAGGCTCTCTCGGAGTCACTTTGCCCCTGCTCATCTGTTCACGGCGGATGCCTCACCGCTGCAGGTCGAGTACAAGTGGCTCTCACTTTCTTTCCACTGAGGAGAGAGACGATATTTGGGAAACTTTACTTTAACCTTTACTTTTTTACATCAAAAGTGAGGGGGCTCAAGTTCTCATTTATACTTGGCTTTTCTTAAAAATCAGCCATAAGATGCTTGCAGAAAACCCCAACTCCGTGGCCCCCCAAGATTGTGTTGAAAGCCTCAGGTTGTAGAGTGTAACGGGTGTGCGGGCGCTGGGCAGGTCCCTCCAAAGGCACGTTCCCCTGGGGAGTCGGACGAGGCAGCCGGCGGCTCTGGGTGGGGAAGGACGTCTCACCTGATCCCCGCTTGGCGGCTTGTCGTCTTAGAGCTGATCCAGAGGAGGCTGGGGCAGCTGTTCGGTGGTGTCCAGCGACCAACATATGAATTCACAGAGTACATGCTGGCGCCTCTCGGCCTCAGAAAGCCTGGGGTGGGAGGTGTTGACACCTGGCCCGCACCAAGAGCGGCCATAGAGAGCGCATGCAGGACAGCAGTCCTTCCTGGGGAAGGACAAGCAGGATCCCACCTCCCTCACTCACCGAGAGGGGCGAGACTCAGCCAGGATGGGCCTTTCCTCGGGGCCTGGAGGGAGGCATGTGGCGGTGGGTGGGTGTCACAGGCCTGTGGCACAGGTGACGCCCTGGGACCCTGCCGGTCACCTCCCCCCTTCCCAGGCCTGGTGGCAGGGAAGGACAAGCAGTGGCCCCATCATCCCCACCTCCCCGCAGGCTGGTCCTATCAACCCAAAAGGCAGAAGGGATCCCAGCCCAAGGCAGGGTTTGGCCCTTTCCAGCCACCTCAGGCCTCTCTTGGCTGTTCTGCCCCAACCGAAGCTCCTCGCCAAAGGCCATTGACAGCAGCAGGGAGGGGAGAGGATGGCCAGTGGCCCCTCTTAGAGAAAGAGACGGCCTTCCTGTGGCTTCACGTTTGTCTTAATTGAAGAGAGCAGACCTCATCTACAAGGTGCTGCCACGCTGCCCATCTGTGCTCTGCTTCTCTGGCACTGGGAATTTGGTCTTGGAGGGAGGCTGCCTCTGACCCCAGGGGGCTGCCCGCGGCCTGGTGGGCTCCCGCAAGCCTCACTTCTGCTGGGGCCCTGCCTCTTGCAGCCCATGAACTCCTGCCTCTGAGGAAGTTCAGAGCCGGGGGGGGGGGCCGCGCCAGGCGGTCCGCCGGCCCCGGGGGCCCTGAAGGACAAGAACGGGGTCATGGGGGGGGGCTTCCTGTCACGGGGCATCCCTGCTTACTCCAGAGGGAGCGCCTGCTAGAGCCGCTGGACTAACGGGCTGCTGCCTGTGAGGGCCGGGCCGGGCGCCGGGGCCACAGCCTCGCCGTTTACATTACCGCAAACCCTCTTGCCTTATGGTGGAGGCCGGGGTCCAGCCCAGGGCCCACAGGCAGACACGACATCCAGGCCACAGGAGAGCTTGTTCTGATCATGCATATGAATTTTCATTCTCAGAAAGCCTTACTTTTCAGCAAAATTTTTGTAGCAGGAAAGTCTTGTGAATTTGTACGCGGAAAGAAAATTTAAATAAAGGAGAAGTCCACCTTAGGAAAAAAAACAAACCCAACATCCAAATGGGTCTCCAGGCAGGGTTGGCGTGTGCGTTTCCGCACTCCTGCTGGCACTGCCGGGGGCCTCAGCGCAAGCCCTGGGTGCCCCGCCGCGGGCTCAAGTCGCGTGTGCTCTGGCCTTGGGGCCGGTCACCCGAACGATGACCGCCTCAGGCCCCGCGGCCTGGGGCGCGAGCGGTACCCCCCCCAACCCCCGGCGCTGGGGCGGCAGCCCGGCCAGGGCGGTGCCTCCGCGTAGGCAGTTGTGCCGCGTCTTGCCACGGCCACACGGTTGGCCAGACCCCTCCCATTGGTGCCAGAAAAAAACCATTCCTCTTAAAAGAGAAAAAGATTAAAAAAAAAAAAAAAAAAAAAAAAAAAAACCAATCCCAGATCGCAGCGGAGATCTTGTAGCCTAGGTAGGATAGTCTGACCTTCTAGCATAGTCTCTTTGGCAAAGAAATTGTGTTTCAGTGCGGGGGTGGGCGATGCCCCGGGGCGCGGGGACGGCGAGTCAGCGGTTTCTGGGGCCGTGTGCGCTTTCCCAGCTGTACCTCGTGGGCACTGGGGAGCCTCAGGAAGTGTGGCGGCCAGGACGGGCAGTGTTGGGCCAGGCCCCCGCCCGGGGCAAAGTGCTGGGTGCAGAGGCGCTGGGTCTGTCCCCCACCTCCACCCACCGCAGCCTGTCCTCCGCACGGGCCGCCACTGTCTTGCACTAGAGCCGCTCTAGTCTCTCAGGAATTTGCTTGTTACTTTTACTGTGTAAATAAAGCTTCCTGGTTCAGTGCCCAGCTGCTGGGAGCCGGCTGTGTGCTTTCTGTTGGGTGTGGCAGATCGGAGGGTCCCCCCTCTGCCTTTGGGACCCTTCGCTCTGGACTGGCACGGGCAGAGCCTGGGCCCTTCTATCCCCTCCGAGCCTCGGGGTCAGGTCTGTAAGACGGGGAGAGTGGACATCTCAGGGCTGTCGAGAGGCTCAGGTGCAGGAGGCTGTGAGCGACCACGAGGGGGGTGCTGGCCATTGCCACGGCTGTGATCCCGGGGGCCCCCAGCACCAGGGAAGTTAGTACCTGTGTGTTCCGGATGGAGATGCCTGCCAGGCAAGGCCACGCAGCAGTTGCTCCAGGATGCGCTGCTGCAGGGCGCCTGGCCTGGAGCCCTGTGGGCCTGCGGGGCCCCCTGCCCACCAGGGTCGCCAGGGAGGGGGCGCAGGCTGGGACCCCACGCTCCTCGGAGGGCAGCACGGCTCAGATCTGTGCTGCTCGGGCCGAGGGGTCGCCAGCGCTCACAACTTAGCTCAGAGTGGGCTCCAGGGCACACGGTCCCTGTGCCTGGCCCCCAAGTCAGGGACCCCTCGCTAACCAAGCTCAGGAGACCAGGATGTTTGCAGCCTCGAGGACAGGCTTAGGGAGGCTTCTGTCATTTCTATAAGCCAAGGTTGGCCCACATCATCTGACTGCAGAGGTTTTTGCCTGGAGATCTATTAGGTCCTGAGGGGATGCCCCCTCTGGGAACGAGACACAAGAGCACCCCGTCCAGACTGTTCTTGTTTTCTCTTCAGCAGCCGTTCCTTTTTCAAACAAAATGGTCCATGAACATCTAGCTCACGAAGCAGGTGAAGCAAGGCTGCTGTGGCTGAGGCTGGGGGTGAGAGGCGCAGCCTTGCAGCCCCAAAGCCCAGGGACCCCGGCACCCAGCCTCGCGTCCCCCATGACTGGCAGGGGAGGCTTCCACAGAGTGGCCCCGGATGGACC